AACAAGAATCGATGGGTGCGAATCATTTGTGATTATTAGTTTGAATATGACCCAAATAATTAATGTTCTTTTAATTTGTTTATTCATATATATTTAATAAAGGTAATTAAAACATTTATAACTTTTTTTTTTCCTTTTTTAATAGTGTAAGGTGTATGGGAGGGAGAGGTTAGTTTGATTAGAATATTTTTTAAAAATATATTTGTAAAACCATTTTCTAAAAATAATAAAGGATTGATCTATTAGCTACACACCAATTTATATGTTTATATAATATATATATATTCTTTAAAAACTTTCCACAATTTTTTTTTTTTTTTTTAATTTCTTTGTATTTCCCATATCATTAAGCACCAATCTGTTGATTTTGTGTTAAAATAAAGAAGGTAATGTAAAATTACAAATTTAATTAGTGTCAAAGTCATATTAAGGGGGAAAATAATAAGTCAATGCAATATGCTGTTTAATAGATTAAATGGTTAATTTCTTTACTTTTAAAATCTCAATAAAAATCAATTTACTTACATTAGAGATTGATTCCAAAATTATTAAAGGGTTTAGTCAATTCTTATATTGCTAACATTATTAATCATTACATGAACTTAACATTGTCACATTATTAGGTCATGTCAATATAATGTTATATTCATAATTAAAGAGCCTAACCACATTGATTACAAATATTAGATTAAAAACTAAATTTAATTATTAAATTGAATATTCAATTAAATGGTGTTATGTACTTAAATATATTAATGTCAAATCAAGAAACATAAGGTTGACCGGAAAGGATGAATCAAAATCATGAAAGGCTTTCAAAAAAAGAAAAATACTTTTGATAATTGCGACATCTTATTTTTCTCTTGATAGATGGGCTGTAATAATTTACAGACCACTCAATTTCTCCTAATTATAACTTGTCAAATTTGACCCAGATCAACCCCAAACAAGATTCTCTTCATCCAATAATGATAATAAAACAGTAATTGACACTCAAGAACCTCATAATCAAAATCACTTCCCAAATGGGTTACCCTTAAAAAAAAAAAAAATTAATATCAAATTATTAGACTTAGAATGTTTCAATATGAGATAGTTAAAAATGAAACGTATCTGTTTCGTTCAAAAAGTATTAAAAACCTTTTGAATAATTATGTAAAAGCGTAATTGATGTTTTTAAGGGGTTTTGATTATTTTTAGGATTCTTTTTATGTACTTTTGAAAGAAAAATTTTCATTTAAAACCATTTTATGAGCCCAATATGAGCCCAACATTAAAGCTGGTCCAAAAACTTGTTTTCGTAATTGGGTAATTATTTTGTTTCTTCATAAAAGCAACGAAATTGATAAACCAAATGGGTTATGTTTTGAGTTATAAAAGCAACACATTGGTAATTGACTTTTGAGGTTTTGGTGTGACAAAATGGAACGAACAAAAGAGGCCCACTGACGCAATGGAAATCCCCAGTAGCTGGAGATTTTTGAAAAGATACCAAACGAGGATGGAGATGAGGAAGACTACTACTGCTTTGTTAACCTTTTCTTTTCTGGACTGCTGACTGTAAGTGTAAAGCATAACCAAAAGTCCACTACAATCACCAACTCCCTCCCAACAATTCTTCAACCGAAACCTCATTGCTTATTCTATTGATTATATCAACAAAGATTTTGAAACGTTTTGTCAATTATGCGGATTAACATGTTGGACAGTCACAGCCACAGATGAAAATACATTCCTTTAAACTGCTGTTTGTCCAAGTTGGGCAGGGCACCACTTAGCAATCTGAACAGTATCTTATAACGTTGAATAGTGGCTGGATAGCTCTTCAACATAATATTGAGTATTTCTTTTCTATTTTTTTTTTTTTTAATTTTGAAGCTATGAGGACAAAAACCTTCTATCTGTCTTCCACAATTTATGAAATACAAACCATTTAAGACAAAAGTTTCATCTTTCATTCCTTTTCAACCATCCAGCCATAGCACATGTGTTTGTGCGGAATCTACTTTACAATTGTCCTCCCTCCTGGCTACGGCAAGCCACGCCATCTATCAATAAACCTTCCAAGTGAGAATACCATACACACCCGACATATACATATAGATATTTAACTAAATGTTGGGATGTCATCCCTTTTCCTATTTGGCGAATTTCCATCCATCCTCCTTCCTTATTCCTGTTACTGAAAATCTGAAATCCTTGATTGGAGACTCACCCAAACACTTTCTTTAGTCCTTCAGTCCTTGTATTGTACAGTAATGGAAGATAAAGGCTGCGTTTATTACTCTATTCTAACCACTGTTTTAAAACCTGGACCAGAGGATAACCCATTTTACTGTCCGAGTCACAGGTCAACTGGTCCAACTGATTAGTCCGGCCGGTTGGACCGATGACATCATCATATTCTTTAATATAATATGTTTAAATAATTATTGTTATGTTTACCATTGGACCCAATTACTTCCATTGAACCCAATCACTTTCATTGATGATTGAACCCAAACACCAATTTAATTAAATCTGAAACCCAAGTCCTAGATCCTTCAATATCCATCAATTCATGGAGTCCATAAACATATAAAATGCAAATACAATATATAAATAAAAGAACTTTTTTTATTATAACAATTCCGCCAACAAAGGGAGTCAACTTTAGAATTAACAATAATACTATACTTACAAAGAAATCTTACAAAGATTTCCATACAAAGTGAGGTGGCAAAATATGAATGGAAGACTGAAACAAAAAGTCAAACTCATTAAATTCACTCTTCCATTCATTTTTTGCCACATCACTTTGTATGGAGATCTTTGTAAAATTTCTTTGTAAGTGTAGTATTACTCTAGAATTAATGAACAAGCCAAACATCTGTCTCTCACCCATTCTTTCCAGTTCCACCCAACAAAAATTTCACCCACAAGCAGAATTAATGACAACCACACCAGAGTGCAGACCAACGCCCAAAAATTTCACCTAACAAGCAAGCTTTCCATTATTTAATTAACCGACTCTTATTTCCCTTCTCAAAACAAATACAACTAACAAAACTTCCAAGCATTTTTGAGATAACAAAACTCAACTCAACCGAAACATGCAAAATCCAGAAAAAGGAAGTTGTCGTCGATTTTACTAAGCATTTTTTACGGTGGAAATACCTTTACAAAGCTTAAGCGAGGGAGAAATGCATCGTTGTCGTCGATTTCGAGCAAAGGAGGCATCGTCGTTGTTGATTTCCAACGAGGGAGAGAGGCGTTGCCGTCATCAAGCGAAGGAGGTCCTGTCATCGTCGATTTCCAACGAGGGAGGGAGACGTCATCGTCGTCGAGCAAGGGAGGCCTTTGGTATTTTGCACAGAAAAACTTAAAAAGTATAGAGTTAGGGTTTTTTTTTCATTTGAAAAAGTGAATCGGTTTAGCTGGCGGGTCGATTGGACCGAGTAGTGGAACTGTTCATCCGATTCAATGGCGGGTTAACACGGTTTTTTTTATTATAACCAGGTTTTATATTGGCTCAGACAAGACATAAGATCGGGTCTGGTCGAACCAGTTGAACCGACCGGTCCGGTCTGGGTTTTAAAACAGAGATTATAACCATATCTTATTTTACTCTCCTATCCTAAAAAATGAAAAATATGTTTGTTTTAATATTCTTTAAAATTCAATCATATTCTATTCAACTCAAAACATTAACAATTAATTTTCTCAATAAGTTTTAAAATTAACAAAAACACTCCCATCCACCCAAACCATTATCACCTACCAACAACCGTCGGCACTACCAACTGCTACCACCGCCAACCGTCGACGCTGTAACGACACACGATTAATTGGATCTAACCAGTCGTGCGCCAATCTAGCTTGAGACGGCCAGATCTATGACAAAAAATTTAGCCGTTTTCTTCCGTCATTGAAGGTCAAACAACGTCTAGATCTTTGGCCGTAGATTTGGTCATTTCCTACCAGATCGACACACGATCGACCATATCCAACCGATCTTGCACCATTCCGATAACTTCTAACCACTGTCCAATGATTATAGCCAACTACCAACATTTATTGGGTGGGTACCATTGTTTTAAAACCCGGACCGAAGGGCAACCCGTTTTGCTGTCCGGGTCAATCGGTTGGACCGATGACGTCAACAACTATTTTATTTTTAAAAAATTACATATTAATCCCTTAAATTTTAATATATTACAAAAATTCTCCTAAAAAGATCAATTAGTCCCTAAAATTTTTATTTATTTTAAAAAATGCCAATAAATTACCAATTAACCCTTTTTATTTTAAAATATTACAAAAACCCCCCTAAGACCTGATCTGGACTAGAGAAGCTACCAAGTCCCGATCCAACCGATCGATCCGATTTTTAAAACAGAGGTGGGTATTGGATAGAGGTGTTTTTGTTCATTTATAAACTTTATTTATAAACTTTTATTGTAACGAATGTTTAACTAAATTGACAAATATAGGAGATTAAAAAATAATTTAAATATTTTCAAAAAATGTACCAAACACATTCACAAAATCCTATCATATTTAATTAAATCCTATTCAGAAGAAAATACAATTATAAAAAACTAAACAAACCGAGCCAACAGGATTCAGTATAAAAAGAGGGGTTATAATATAGGCCAATGCAGGACGAATAAGGGCTTAATCTGCCGTAATCAAATCAACTTACTCTTGTAGGGAACCTAGTTCAAAGTTTAATGGAAGTTGTAATTATTCAAAACGCTTCAAAAACCAATTTCTATTATCAGATAAAAGCTATTTAAATTGCAGCCCCACTTAAAAGTCCTTATACTTCTGGTAGATGGATAACGCTAGAATGAAATATAAGAAGTAAGAACCCGAGGCACGCCATTTACAAAAGCACGAAAAACAAGTTGATTTTATTTATTTTCAGAAAAGAAAAACTACTTAATACATCCTTCATTGGAAATCAAACCCAAACCATCATATATTTGTGCGATACAGAAACCTTAAAGAATAAATAATCATGTTTATCTTTCCCCCTTATGAAATAAATAATAATTTAAAGGAATTATGAACCTGAGAGGGTCAAACAAATTAATACAACACACCCCAGGAGAGACAAAGATAGGGGAAAGAACAGGCAAACCCCCAGAGAAAAAACAAAAACACCTTTCCTTGTATAATTGCCCCTAAAACATGTGGTAACCCATGTTACAGTAAAACATTATTTAATTCCCTATTTGAGTCTAATCGTCTTCTCATCTCAACATGCAGCTTCCTGAGCTACAATGAGCTATTGACTACCGACACTCAAGAGAGACAAAAAAAATGTAGCGTATATTTGAATCAACCATTCAGATATATTTAAGACTTGCTCAAAAAAGAATTTAAACATTTGCCACAAGCACACCTAAGAGAAAATCCCCCTTACATTATGCATCTCAACTCTCCTATCCACTTAGCTGGATGCAACTGGTTTTGATACGGCCTGCCTAATGGCCTCCGCATATGTCCTGTGCTGATAGGTAAGGGTTGATTCCAGCAAGTCCCAAAGTGATGTCTTCGGGTTCCAACCTGCAGATAACAAAATACATATCATCAAGATCTTACCTTTCAAAACCAGGAAATATAAAGATCTTAAAAACACTCTAGGAAAAAAGACAATACCAAGTTGTCTATTTATTATTGTCATGTCTGGAATCCTCTTGTCACTATCATCATATCCCTCACCATAAAATTCTTTGGAGCTAACATCAATGGTTGGCTCCTCCAGAACAGGTTCTGCACTCACCTTTGAGTAGACCTGTAAAACACAAAAAGAGTTAACTACTGGTTCCTAGTAATGTTTAACACACAACAGTTGGAAAACATAAATGTCATGTAAAGTAAAAACATTCACCTCAGTCATCATTTCAGCAAGCTGTCGAACTGTAACTTCATTGTGGGGATTGCCCACATTGAAAATCTGACCGTTAGCCCTCGCAGGATTTTCCTACAATATGAGACCAAACTACTTAGCTACTCATCTTAAATGCCATACATGAAAGATAAACAAATGAGGAGACACTAAAAACATACAATCATCAACAGAACAGCTTCAATTGCATCCTTTATATAAACAAAAGTTCTCTGAGATTGGCCACCATCCACAAGCTTGAGTGGTTGACGACGTAAGAGATTCTGAGACAAGAGACAAAAACAAGAGTATGATTACGATCCTCCAAAGCATAGCAAAAACAAAAACATTGGTTTGCTGAAATCTTGAACTTACATTACTAAAGCACGCCAGAACCCTGGGAACACCCTCACTTGGACCATCAATGCCAGGTATGAAATCCATCCTGGGTCCAATCCAGTTAAAAGGTCTCACAATGGTGAATTCAAGACCATTCTCAGCACCCTCAGCTGTAGTCATTAGGAAAATGAGTTAAAAAATATGTTTACAAAGTAAAGAACAGTTGGAACAAATGGTAGGATTCTCACCATATATAAGCCTCTCAATCAATTGCTTTGCACATGCATACGACCACCGCTGCTTCTCAATGGAACCAAAAATGCAGGGCGAGGTATCTTCTTTAAGAACATAGTAAGCAGGATCCTATCATCAAACATAGCATCTAAATGAGTACATATTTGAAACTTAAATCTGGGACCAGAATAGTAAGTTAACTTATCAGAAAATAACTAAGTGCTTAATCATAAAAGTAATTAAACCTATTTGATATAAAACAAAGAAATACCAGTTCCACCAAATAAACAATCTGAACGCAGCGTACGCTCTTGTTTACAATAATTTAGACATGCTATGGGAAAGAAGAATACAGACCATAAATCAAAGATCTATGGCACATCCAACAAAATTGTAAAGAAATTTGATTTGTAAATAGAAGATTTCAAGTGGCAACTTCAAATCGCACTAAATAAAAGATGCATTGTACTGAATCCAGCAAGAAATGCTTCACATCATAAACAAACGTATTGCCGTACCAACAACCCATTGACTTCGCTTCTATTTGTTCTTATTATATTCCTGAAATTATTTGGTAAACTCAATATGTACAAGCCTGATGTATAGAAGGAAACGGTACACTGTTATATATTCCATTCGAACTTTTAATCTGAAAACAGAAAAATCGCCTAAGCAAGCTTAATGCCAGAAAAGAGAAGGAAACTGATTGCTAATTCACATAATCAGACACATGTATAACCATCTGCACATATCTAGTAAAATATTATAGACAAATGTTAAAACTATTTAATCACTCATAAAAGACAAGAAGGTCGGTTGGTACTTTCTTTAGGCCAGTTGGTATTTTCTTTAATAAATAGCCGGAAACCCAAATCAGAACTGGGGACTACGGATGGGAATATAAAATCTTGTCATTCAATAAATTTGGGTGATTTATAAAGTATCTGGTAGTAGACCACTTCAACTGCCCAACGGGAAGGACAAAAATTCCCCCCCGGTGCTATGGTTCGTTGTTCATAATTTATAGAAAATCACACAATCCAAGAAGCAAAACCTATATTACAAGTCAAAGATTCTAACGGTAACCATAAGAAACAAGTCTCTCAAACCTAAATGTAATATGACTTGTTCATTTCTGCTAAATCAGCAGATCTTCAATTCGAAGGCAAGTGTTACCTGACGAAGTGGGCTGTCTTTAGGCAGAAAGCTTCCAATAGTTTTTCCATACACTTCACAAGTTGAGAAGTGAATCAGACGCTTGTTGTTCTCCGAACAGTATTTGACCTTCACATTAACAAAATCAACAACAACCGAACAAAGAACAAACTCAACTCACCCACCGAAAATGACTACGTTTTAACTAGGAACAAAAAAGAACATGCATGAAATACGTACCACAGGAAGTGCGTCGATAAAGTTACTGTAGATCGTGTCAAGAGGACGCGTGTTGTAATCAGCCGGCGTACAGATCGCCGCTAGATTAATCGTCTGCACCACCAAAAAACCCCGCATTATTTACAAAAATGCCACTACATTACGATCAAATCCAAGAAACACCAAGAAACAAAGATGACGGAAATTACCAGATCTGCCATCTTGATAAGGCCTTCGAGGCGCGAATCGTGCTTAATGTTGAGTCGGTGGAACTGGATCCGGTCGGTCCAAGTAGTCGACTCCGGCTCAAGCAAGTGCTTGATCTTGTCATTATAAACATCGAGCGCCAGAATCTTGTGAGGCGTCTCGAAGAGAATCTTCTCGCAGAGGTGAGAGCCGATGAAACCTCCGGCACCGATCATGCATATCGTCATCGGCTTTATCGGCCTCCCGTCCAGATCCAATTTCACGGCTGCGGTCGCCATTTCCGTTTACGACGAGTTAACTGGCGTAAAACTAAACTCTCTGCTTCGACTGAGTCGGTGTGCAAGCGACTAACGTGCGCCGATTGCGTAGAATATTGAGAGAGGAGGAGATATAGTATAGAGCGTTTTTCGGATAGTGGGGAGGAGAAGGCAGTGGTATATATATATAGTATGTGTGAAAAAAAAAAATTAAAAATTAAAAGTTAAATGATATTAAATTACGAGATGTAACCCTTAATAGCCTACATTCAATGAGTTGGAGATTATCGTACTCTCAATTGTAGACTGTAGCATATACTCGCTGCATACATATGCCACGTGTAAAACACGCTGTATGATCTGAATAAGATTTTTTTTCGTTTTTAAAATTTAAATTCGCTTCAGACACAGACAGGATTTATATAGATTGGATCTGGTGGGTAGCGGAGGAAGGACGAGGCAGTCAACAATTGAGAGATAAATATCGAAGAAATTTTTTTTTTTTAAAGCAATAATAAATGATGAAATTAATTTTTAACTTAATGAATAATAATTTTAAAGCATAATAATGTGATATTCTGATAATATCAAAATTAAAAAAAAATTGATGACATCATTCTGGATAAAATAAAAATATGTACACGTGATTGGTAAGTTTCATGGAAAGGAGTGAATTGTAATTTTGTCCTATGCACTCTTTTGGATAATTAGTAATTTGTATAAAAAGTAACGGGAAAAACCCCCTAATATTACGGCTAGACACACAAGATAAAGAAGCACAAAAGAAAACAAGAACTAGGATATACAATCCTAAACGTTATAGATTTTTCTATTGCGGTTGGATTGCTATATTTAGAGATGTAACATTTTACATAAATAGCTATAGATCTTATAATGTAAAGACAATCATTGGAATATATAGAAATTATATCTTTTTTGGATTTTAAAAGTAATATTTATATGTTTACAAATTGAGAGTTAATATATTGATATATTTTCGAAGGATTTTCATATGAAACAAAAATATTTAAGATTTATTATAAAATTATGATCTATAAGTAATTCAATTTTTATTTTAACCTTGTAAAAAAGATGGATTTAAAAAAATATATTATGAAGAAAATAACAAAACATTAAATATTTAATTAATCAATCTTTTTCCTTCATAATTTATGAGCGTATTTAATATGTAAAATATTTATCAATATCGTTATAAATTATTATAACCTATAGTTTAATCACATAAACTTGAAACATGTGAAAGTATTTAAAGGATTAACACTAATTATTAATTTGTCACATCAAACTTGCAAATTAAGACTTTTGCTATAATGCTATCAATACAACGAGAGAGTTCAGATAAAAATAAAATAAAAAAGCAGCAAAAACACGTGAATATGTATGACCTTTGTACGCTTTATGATTTATATAACCTATGGTCCCATATATGCCATACCAGGGTTACCACGTCATGTCCTACAATTACGAAGATACCCTTGGAATATCGTTTAACTCCCTTCCAAGACAAAAGTTTCTAAATCCAATTCTATAGATAGTAATAACGCGTAGAGCGAGTAGAGAGTATGGAAAAGAATGAAAAGGCGGTGAAGTAGTGGTAAGCGTGTCATGTGAGTGGCTTGTTCCCAATGAGCTGTCTCTCTACACACTCACGTGGGTCATATTTGGTTTGAAAAACAAATCCTATAAAACATTTTTAATCCCACGCGCTTTTCCACGCTCCGATCCCAAAGGAATCTTTTGTGCCTTCCTTTCCCTGTCAGGAAGACCCAAGTGAGTTAACTAACTATTCTTTCCTTTCTTTATCATACTATATATGCGAATCATGTCAAATCATGGTTTAATTTAATTAATTAACCTCTTAATTACGTCATTGTTTATGAAAATGAAATGTCAGAAATATAATTTAATTAATTAAGCATATAACTGTACAAAAATGGCTAGGGTCAAATTATGATTAAAACATTTTAACGGCGCACTAATAGAATATTAGGATATCTCCAACCCACGCCAAAATGGTGTAGCGCTGTAGCGCCCAATAATTTTTTTTTTTTAATTTTGCTTTTTTTTTTGTTTTTGTTTTTAGTTTTGTTAAGTTAATTTAAGTATTAAATTTTACACAAAAAATCACACCAAATTTGATTATTTGTATTTAATTTAATTTGATTATTATTTATAATAATAAATTCATAATAATAATATAATTCAAAAAATGATGAAAAATTAAAAATAGAACTTTATTCAATGCAAATATTAAACTATAAATAACTTAAAATAAAAATTAACACCAAATTTGAGAATGTCTGATTTCGAAATTTTTTTGCTCGACATAAACAAATCAAGGATACAAAGACTCATCATGCTCTTCGAAATGCATTAATTGATTATTTGTGGGAAGAACATACTAATTCAGAAAATTAAATTACTATCAATATGGAATTTTACCTTTGTGTTGTTATTGTTGTTTTTTTTTTTATCATTTTATATTAGATGTAATGTTTTTCTATATTAAATGTAATGTTTATTTGATTAAATAAATGTTTAATTTTATTAAATTAGTATAATTTTCAAAATAATTTTTATTTAATAAAAATATCATTCCCAATATTTAATTAATATACACAAAAATAATGAGTAAAATAAATTAATTGTTGATTATTACAATGAAAGAAGAAAAAAGAATATTCTAAGGAATATTCTTTTTGGTGTAATATTTGGTGTTGTGGGTGGGAGATGGAATAGTGTTTTACACCAAATTGGTGCAATGTGTTGAAGATGGTCTTAGAATGCCAACACAAAAGTTTATCCGACAAGCATTCTACTAGCCTTTCACACTGTTTTAAAACCCGGACCAGAGGGCAATCCAGTCTGTTGCATAGGTCACGAGTCAACCGGTCCAACTGATTGACTGCTGCTTGGGTCACTAGTCAACCGATCCAACTGGTTAGACCAGTAGGTTGGACCGGTGACATCAGCACTGCAAAAAAAAAAAAAAAAAAAAACCTGTTTTTTTAGATTTTAAGATTTCTATTTTTAATAAGACATTAACAACTTAATTACTGCCCAACATGATTCAAAGTTCAAATTCAATAACAATCCCAACATAATTTAACTATTTAAGATTTAACAACAATCCAAAGTCTAAATCCAAACATGATGTTGTGTTCATCCATGTAATGACTTCTTTCTAATAGTATATTTTATAACATATACTATAAAAACATGCATAATTAGCATATGAAAATAGCTGAACCCAAATTTTTCTTTACATACAAAATATAATTCTTTATATATATCAAAATAATAAGTACAAAAACTTAGCAACGGTGGATAGTAATGCCAATTCTCTCCGCTTGTCGATGTCCTTCCGACCGCTGCTCACCTATTTCTTGCAAAAACATGAAAAACAACGGGGTGAACATAAAAATGCTCAGTAAGTAAATCTCTTAACTTTTCTTCTTCTTTGATTCTTTCCTTACTTAATTCTCTTCTTCTTTCTTTCTCTGTTTCTAATTCTCACTATTCTTTTCTTTCTTTCTAATTCTCTCTGTTTCTTTCTTTCTTTCTGTTCTTTCTTTCTTACTCTTTCTATTCTTTCTATTCTTTCTCTTCTTGCTACTCTTCTATTCTTTCTAACCATAATAAAATTCATGGGAATATGCATAAATGAAATGCATATGCAATAATGCATAAAATTGCATTTTATTTCTTCTTTCTATTTCTTTTCTTTTTCTTTCTATGCTTTTCTTTTCTCTTCTTATCTTGCTTGCCCAAGCTTCTCTTTTCTTTCTTGTTTCTTTTCTTTTCTTTTCTTTGTTTGTTCAAGTTTTCTCATTCTTTCTTATTCTTTCTTTTCTTTTCTTATTCCTTCTTTTTTTATTTTTTGCCGATCGAACTCAGTTGATGTATGAATTCGGAACCTTGACCATGTGAGTGAGTATAGTCCTCATCTACATGCACTCTTGCGGACCGTACAAATTCTTCTTTCTTCTTAGGCCACTCAATTAAGGTGACGTGTATGTAAGAATTCTTCTTGGTACAACCCTCATCCACATACACTCTTATGGGTCGTACAATTCTTCTTCTTCTTATGCCACTCAATTAAGGTAACGTGTATGTGGGAATTTCTTCTTAACACTCACAGTTTCCCATCAAACCAACCTATTCTTTTCTATTCTTTAACACTTTTTCTTTCTTTAATTCTTTAATGGTTATTCTTTCTTTCTCTTTACTCTTAGAATGTTTTATTTTTTCTTTCTTTATTCTTTATTCTTTCTTAAGTTTCTACACATACACAATTATATGCATATGGATGGCTCATGCTTAAAATTTCTTACTTAAATGCACTTATAAAATGCACATATGCAATGTTGTATAAAATTAAGGTTTCTACTCAACTCATACTTCTCTTAGGCATTTCATCAAATAATACTTGTGCATAAACAAACCCTAATGTAATTATCATTCTATTTGTTTCTTAAACCATCCAAATTGAGAGAAAAACTCTCTTGTAACATCACCATACCTACACGGCAAAAATACTCCCAAAAGTTTCTCCAATTATTCCAATTTCAACCCATCATCAAGCCATCACATACACTCCTCATATTCAAGTATATCCAACAACAAGCATAACTAATCATCCATCTCATCTCAATTTCTCAATAATCATAACATATGTATATTTAAAAGAAATCTCTACTCACTTGATTTTCTTAAACTTTAACTTAAGTTGGATTTTGAGTGGAATTTACTTACCTTATGCTTGAGTAGTCTTTACTAAGCTCTCTACTCTTGTTGGATTCAAATCTTCTCTTAACCCTAAACATAAACTCCATAAGAACTCAACTTTTACACAAATAAAACATAGATAAAGAGCAAGAATCCTTACCTCTTGAAGCCTAATATCAAAACCCTATAAAAACCACTCAAAAGCCCTCAAAATCCTTGGAGGATTGAATGAAAATTTGAGAGAAAATGGGGGAGGAGTGTGGCGGTGGAATGAAGAAAATAATGGTTTCAAACGCTTAACACTTTAGTTTATAAACACACTTTCCCATTTTGCCCTTACTCTTTCTTAG